ATGACCACTGTGATGTGAGAAGCACAGGTAGAGAGGGCTTTGCGCCTGCCTTCTGCAGTACGGTTTCTCAAGTTGACCAGGATGACAATATAGGAGGACACCAAGAGGAGGAAGGAGAAGACAGAGATTAATCCACCGTTGACCAGCACAATAATTCCCTCCATAGAGGTGTCACTGCCAGCAGGCTTGAATAATGGATGGAGGTCACAGAAATAGTGGTCAATCACATTGGGACCACAAAAGGGCAATTGGATGGTGATGAGAATCTGAATGATGGAGTGAAAAAAGCCCCCAAGCCAGGAAACAGCCACAAGTACATAACATAGTAGGCTGCTCATAACGTTCATATAAGGAAGAGGCTTGCAGATGGCCACATAGCGGTCATAGGCCATCACCACAAGCAAAAGGATCTCAGTCACCCCAAGGAAGTGAGAGAAGAATATCTGAGTCAGACAGCCCTCCAGGGAGATGGTTTTAATCTTGACAAGTAAGTCTGCGATGAATTTAGAGCCAATAGTAGAGGAGTAACTGATTTCCACTAGGGATAGGTAGCTAAGGAAGAAATACATGGGGGAATTCAGATGCTTAGTGATGCTGACTGTCACAATGATGAGGCCATTGCCCACCACCGTGGTCAGGTACACGGCAAGAAACACCACAAAGCACACTCTCTGCACCTCTGGATCCTGGAAAAGACCAACAATAACTAACTTGGTCACATTACTTGTATTCGCCATGGAATTCATTCAAATGCGCTGGACGCAAGCTCCTGAGAGACCTGCAATAAAACAAACAGTGATTGCAACCAATTTGCCTCATTTATAGCACATTAGAGATTATAAACCACTTTACAACAAAAACTTATTCATTTAGCCAGTATATACTCACTCGGCACTAAATATTAGCAATGTAAGAACAGTTTATATAATAGAAAACAAAAGCTCACAGAAGTGGTTATTTATCCAGGATCATCCAGAAAGTGGTGGATGCTTAGACTCAGAACCAGGCTTTCTGACTTCAGTCCCAGGTTCTTTCTAACTCACCACCAGATATTCTGAATTTGAGGCCCATTCAAATTCATAGTGATATTTTTTATTATCTCATTGCATTTGCAATGCTCTCTCCCATTGGGGAATCCCCATGACACAGTTCTGCTCCTAAATTCCTTCTTTCTTTGATCTCTACCTCAGAGAATCATCGTACTACTGATTATTCTTCCATTTTCAAAGGTCCTCTGTACTGTTTCTTCACTCAGTTATGGCAGTCTTCAATTTACTCAGGTCAGATTCCTTCACCAGTCTTGCAGCTTCAATAACTATATTTATATGACAAATGGTCAAACACTCTGGCGAGAATTCAACTCACTAGTTTGTCTCCATCATTCCATTACTACATTTACACATCTTGGCACACAGCTCAAACTATGAAGCAATCCCTAAATCACAGAACTTGTGCTCTAGAACATTGTTATGGCTGGGAACCTGTTCGTTCTGGTTCCAGGTTGGTAGCCAGCAGCAAAGTATATGATAACAAGAGTGAAGATTTCTCTGTAATTTAATTCCTTGGAACAGATGCGCACTGAGCACCTCTTATACATCTATACACCCCCCCACCAACTACACTGAAGAAATACAGATCACAATACACACTCAAGCTAACAATGTCATGTGATTCAAAACAATATTCTCTAGATTAAGGTGCCATATTAGGAATTTTTTTCACCACAAATGATCCATGAGAAATAAGAAAGAAGTAGTATGAACATTTTGATTCCCTGCTATAAATTTTATCCTCATTGCTTTTCCCTTTGTCTCTGATTTCTTACTGAAATTTTCAAGAAATATACTTTTTAAAAAGTAAAAATGTACCTAACAGCAAGGACCCAAATCAAAGAGAAAACAAAAGTCAGTGATGTGTACAATTGGAAACAAAACAGTGCGTCAGAATTCCTTGGGTAAGACACATGTTGAACATCGAAATTTCCTCAGAGAGCAGATCACAGGTGTTCTCACCAAAAAAAAATAATTATATAAGGAAATGAATATAATAATTGGCTTAACTGTAATAGTCATTTAATTATGTAAATGTATATCAAAAAATCAAGCTGTAAATACTAAATATATACAATTTTATTAAAGAAAACAATTTTTAAGATTAAATAAAGTCACTGAATCTGAAAAAATTGAGAAACTAGTATTCTGGAGCAAGAAAAATAGTAGAGAAAGAGACGACAGCATCTTAGAGATGCAGAGAATGTTCTTGATTCTTGACTTTTCAATCCCTGATACAGTCCCTCATGTACTTGGGTACCAGAGAAAGCCTTTTATTCCTCAGATCAATTCTCCTCTTTGCTTAAGCTATTTTGATGCATCTGTCTCTTGCAAGCAGAATCCCCTAAGACATAAACCTAGGAAAAAATCACTAGCAACAATAAGAAAGTTCAAAATACAATTACTAGTTAGAAAACCCAACTGAAAAATGTTCCCTTTACAACAGTCAAGACGTTTTCTAAATAAAAAGCACTTAAAAGTGCAACATAGTTAAGCAGAGAAAATCATAAAACTACTAAGGGAACACAAGAAAATACATGTATAAGAGGGAAAATGTACTCATATCCAGCAAAAAGAAATTCTCATAAAATCATGTTTAAATAATAAAATTCAACATAATGAAGATTTCAACTCTACCTAAATATATCTACAAATTTATGCAACCTCAAGCAAAATGCAATGAAAATTTTCTTTGTAGTTTATATAATTGCTCTCAAGTTCATCAGCAGAAACAAAAAGGGGAAGATCAGCACTTGACAGAAGCAATAGGAAACTGCCCAACCAAGAGCTCAAGTTTCCAGGAAGGTGAGTGCAGCAGAGAAATCACATTGATACCCAAGACCTAACATAAGCAATATTGCTAAATACATTACAGTGTGGTGCCCTTTCCTATGGGAGCAGTGTTGTGGGCACCAGGCACCCACAATCATTAGGAATGTCTGGCACCATCTCAGCACCTTGCAAAATCAAGTAACTGAATGGTTAGAAGATAACATTGTGAGACTCAAGAATCATATTTTACCATGTCCTCAGTCAGGAGCTCAAGGAAAGGTTTTGGACAGAGATTTGGGTGGAAGCTGATGAAACTAAGCTGTGGGGTAACAGGAGACCTATGAGGAAGTGTGACCTGGAAGATACTGTGATGCCACCATCACCCTCCAAGCAGCCTATGTTGCAGTTTAGATGCAATATATGACCCACGTCCCCTTTGATTCCCATACCCAGTCATCACCATGTCCCATTAATTTTATCTTTAAACCCTCTCTCCTATGGTCACTTTCTCTACATTCTTGCTGCCACCACCTTCTCACATGCTGTAAGCTGATGCCTAAATTACCAAAGCACCTTAGTCTCCACATGCTCTCACCCCATCCATCTTGCACACTACAGCCAGAAAATTGTTTCCTGACCCTTCTTTCCTCAGATCCTCCACTGCTTGGCATAATGAGGGCAAACTTGAACTCCTCTGACTCGCTTTTAAAAACCTTCCCAGGTTTTTCAAGCCACCACAACAATCACCCTCTTACCCACTAAACTTCACCTCACCTCTCTTCAACTCAGGGTCATATCCACGTCCCTCAAGCCTACCCTGCTCAATCCCATCACAAGCCTCCCTTCACTGGAAATGCCCTTTTTGTTCCTTCCAACCCTACTCACCTTCCAAGCACAATTCCAGTCTTGTGTGTTCATTTAGCTTGCCTTTCATACTCAAACCCATATGTATCTTCTCTTCTCTAAGCATCATTGTAAATACTTTGGTAATTTTCCTTAAATGTATATTAAATCATGTTGCTAACCCACCTAAACTCTATCAACACCTCCCCATCGCCCACAGCATAAACTTCAATATTCTTAGCATGGGTTCCAGGTCCATCTTGAACTGGCCATCGCCTATTTTTGCACCCTTATTGTCATTCCCCAGATGAACATTCTATAGTTATTTCCTAACCCAAGGTGTCCTTTCTCATTTCTCTGTTTAGTATTTGTGTTTAGTATTCCTTCCTTCTCGATCACGTGAAGATCCTCACTACAATAGGAATAATTGTTTCCTTCTTTTTTATTCCTATTGTATTTTATCATACTTCTTTTACAGCAATAACAGATTCTTTATAATCATAACTTTGAGTCTATATCTTCTACTAAGAAATATACTATCCTAGTATTCATAATTATCTGTTTAATATATTTCTTATTTTAATTGCATTTTGGTGATAATAGTAGCTAATATTTCAACAGTACCATGTGCCACACATTTTACAAGTATTCTATATATATTAACTCATTCAATTCTCAGAACAAACCTGTGATGTGGGTACTATTATTATTACCCCCTTTTTTTTTACCTATGAGGAAACAGAAGCACAGATAAGTGAATTAACTGGCCTAAGGTTACACAGCAATGGAGCCAGTATTTCAATCCAAGCAGCCTAACCACAGATCCTATGCTCCCTAACCACTGCCCTATAAAATTTCTAAGTACATAACACATAATTGAAGAGTTAAAATTAAATATTCCCTTTTGTTAGAAGTCTAAGATATATTTATTCACTGACACAAACAAATATTTCTTATATGAGTATGAACTCAAGCTTTTTTGATGCATTAGGGAAACTAAGGAAAATATCCTAAAACCAATCTGAGAGATCATTCAGACATAAGCACAGAATTATGAAGGGTCCAGTTTTTCCAGCCTTCATCCCTAAGAGAAGGAATACATGATAGCCTTCCTCTTTGCAAACTATCTTTTCCTTTTCTGTCATCTCTGCCTTTTCTGTATTTATTCCTCTCTCTGCTACCTCACCCCTCACCCATTCCCACCATCTCTCCCACTGAACTGGTAAGAAATACCTCCTCTCTCCCGACAATGCTGCCTCACCTAGAATCATGGAAAGAAAAAGTGACCAGCATGTAAGTGAATAAATCGGCATTTGAGTGTGTAGACTCTCCGTCAGGCAACCTGCTGGACTCTGGCCCACAGCATATTGACAGAATGCAGACAATCACCAGAGAAAACATAAGAGAGAACTTGATGTGCTGATGTGACTGATCTCAGATGAAGAAATGGAACATCTCTCCCAGTCAGGAGCTCCCACTTCATAATTCCCAAATGTTATCTCACAGAAACCCAATTATAAAGGACGTTAAAATTCATCAAATTTTATGTTGTGTATATTTTACCAGAATAAAAATAAATAAATAAATTGAATGCATTACTCACACAAAAAAAATCTTCATCCCAACCTGCTCATTTTACAAAAGAACACTTGGGGCTCAAAGCTAGAAACTGACTTCCCCTAGGTCCTTTGGCTGCTTAGAGATCTTGCAACTTACTTCCAGCCATATAATCTACCTTTAGGTCAGAAAATCTGGTGTGGTTTTGTTCTGCCTTAGAACAAGGAATTGGATCAGATGGCTCTCAATGCACTAAATTACCTCCAATTCAGCATGAAGTAAACCACTCTGCTGGAATAGATCATTACTCAAGGAGATGATCTGGTTTGGGAAACTGGGAGGGATGGAGCATTGGATTCCTCTCCAGGAATTCTAGTCCCTGAACAAGCAAAGTGCTTTGACTAATGTTACCCACTGAGCTGATTTTTCACTGAAGGTCCCCAGTGAGCAAAGTCCAGGTCATGCTTAGCTAAGCTATTCTGAGAGCAGAGCTGAACAGATTTAGAGATCTTTTA